CCTGCAAGGCTCCCACTTCCAAAGAGCGTGGTTTTCAATACGCACATTGGACAGGAGCAAAGCCACAAAAAACATTGGAAATGAAAAGCAGGCACACACCAATTCCACATGCCACTAGCAGCACCACCAGAAGCACCACCAACCACGAATGTCATTTCTGTATGTTTCTGTGGGATGGGTAGTGCACTGGTGGAGCAAGTCAGTTGGAAACGTATTCTCTTGGCGCATTCATGCACCTCCTTGGGTGGGGTGGCGATCTCCACGCGTTGGTGCTTCACTGGAGTCTGCATGGCTGCCAGAAGAGTGCAACTAAATGCTTCAAGCCAAATGCTTCCCAGCATTTTTTGGCACAAGACCTTCTGCACTTCTGCTCTGCAGGGATCTTAGGATCTCACAAAGGGGCTCCATGAATCCCTGGTCACCCATCAACTTTGGAAATACAAAACCCCATGGAATTGGCAACTCAGTTCATCCTACAGGTTCCTGAACACCAAGCTCAACAAATCAACCCGTAAACAAAAGACATGCAAACACAAAGGGGACGCTGTTTGCACCGACTTCCAGAGATTCATTCCTGCAAGGAATGCACTAAGTCCAACGCATCGACTTTCACACTTGGGAGTAGTATTCCTTCAAAAGCAACGTACTGTGCTCAATGCGTACACCGTATTTGCGCATGAGCGCCTAAGCTCATGTGCAAACATAAGCAAACAGTGTGTGCGCATGACTTGCACGTGCGGAGGCGTGTGGGCGGGGCCGCCTTTGGCAGGGCGTGCTGTTTGCCCGGGCGTGGTGGCGTGTTTGGCGCAGGGCTGGCTCTGGCCGCGTCGGTGTGGCCGCGTGGGGGGGGTGTCGCGCATGTGGGACGCAGCCTCATGTGGGTGGCACGTGGCGGCGGTTGGGTTCTGGTGTTTGGCTGAGACAAGAGACAACAAACAGGTCAAATAACGTATTTTAAACTGAACGCGCAGCAAAAACCCATTAACAACAAAAACAGTATCCGTAGCAATTAACGGCGGCAGGCAGAGGCCCACAAAAACACACCGCAACCGCTTCGGGCGGCAAGCAAGCGGCGGCAACTAGCTCGAAAACCAGTGGCGTACTTGTATCTTTATAAATATATTTTCTTGCGATTCCAAACTTATCGTTTTGCTTTCCGTAGTATGTCGAAAACAAAAGATTGCAACGGTGTGCGAACGCGTATTCTTCGTGGTCGGGAAGCTCGACCCGTCGCGTGGCGGGTCGTGTCTCGCTCCTGGCGGGGTGCTGTGTTTGAGTCTTTGTTGTGTGAAGCATGGCTGTGTTGTGATGTTTCCATTGACGTGACACGTGCGCTCGTGCCCGTTGTGTTGCTTATAGACGCCCGTCCATGTGAAACAACGCAGCGACGAGAGCGAAAAAGACAGAGAAAGAGAAGGAAAACAAAAGAAAGCAACAACAAATATATAATAGGAAAAAACAGAACACAAGGAAAACAAACAACCGAACAAACACCGGAAAAAAGGCAGAGAAAGAGAGACCAGGAGGGAGAAAAAAGGAGAGAGAGACAGAGGGAGAGATAGAGACAAAAAATGAACACCATCTACCTGGCCCCCCCGCGTCGGAAAAACAGAAAAACTGATTTATTGGCAGACCTGCCCCCCCCCCCCCTGCACGTAAAGTTTTCTCTCGCTCTCTCGGTCTTCTTTTCCTGTCTCTCCCTCTTTCTCCTGCTCTTTTCTGAATTTTCTGGTTATTTGCCTTTCCCATTATCAAAGACTGATGCCATCAATGAATGATCGAAGTTGAAAGAAACTGAATGAGTGACAGTTGGATGATGTAGGATGTCATACCCCCTGGATCACACAAAAATGTAAAATGAAAATGTAAAATAAGGTGGCTCATGTTACTACTTACTACTTGTTACTTGCTACTTACTACTTATACTACTACTACTACTGCTACTACTGCTACTACTGCTACTACTGCTACTACTGCTACTACTATTACTACTACTCCTGCTACTCCTGCTACTCCTGCTACTCCTGCTACTGCTACTGCTACTGCTACTCCTACTACTACTACTACTACTACTACTACTACTACTACTACTACTACT